AGCCCCAAGCTATGCGTGGTACTCACGTAAGAGCGTAAGGAAGTTTGTGCGGGAAGATTTTAATTCGAGAACCAGAAAAGCTAGAAAGTTGAAGTTTTAGGGGAAGTTCCCTGTCCAAATACAACTTAAGTATTTCAAATTCATTCTTGAGGTATGCGTGGTTCTTACGCACGGGCACTTAGAGTCTTGACGAAAAAATTTCTCACTGATCAACTAGGTTACTTTTAAAAAACGACTGTTAAGTTAAAATTATACATTATTTTGCAGAATTTATAGTAATTTATGCTAGTCACCGGAAAAGGTAGGTGTAAAGCAACAGCCATTCATACAGTTAATGACCTGAGTAATTCAAATCCGGTGCAAAGAGGCATGATCGCACGGGCCCGCCCTGTGCGTTCTAGCCTGGGTTATTCATTAAAGAAAGGAAACTAATGCTGTTCGGTCAACTTCCATACATAAATGCTTCCCGGGCAACCTTCAAACAAGATAAGTAGGTTTTTGTGATAGCAGCAGATGTAAGAATTTTGTTCAGCAAAATTCCATTAATAGATCCTTAACTGTTACACACAGTTGTGCAAAACGCTGCTAATGTTGGGAGCATGCATTTTATTGATGCAAATACAGATTTGCTTACATATTTTAACGAACAAACTGATATGATGCGATAATAATTTACAATACCATCAGCAACAGTGAGTAACACAGTATGTGGACAATGTAACAAAAAAACTCATAGTGCTGGCATACAGAAGGACCAGTATAGTATAGACGCACTGCTATAGTGACATCGAACATCGATAAAGAACATGAGAAATAAGTATGAGAAAACACTGCTTGCATAAGGAATTTAAATCCAAATCATTCATTCAGTTATTGCTGACAAAGAAGCACAAATACGGTATTTATTTACAGCATGGATTAATACAGTACGTAGAGACTTATGTGCCACATCGACCAACAGAAAAGGACAAAAGCAACAGTTCCATGTGGAATGCAGATCCGGCTCATCTGTTCACTTCTTCATCACGGCAGCATGCAAATCTTCCGAGGCTGAAGACGTGAAGTCACGTCTCAATTTCGTACGCGAAAAAGCATCTGTCTTTGCAAAAATGCAGTCGAAAAAGACATAATCTAATAGCACATCATTCGAACATATACGACTGTATGTTGCCGTCGACCAATAGCAGCCATCGTCGCGATGAAAAGATACAGATCGCCATGCCTGAGCTAACTGCACACTTTTTTGATTTATGGTTCCCCAAACTGGATTTTGAGGCACAATGAGTTCAGACTTGTCGCATTGAAAAAGCGACGAAACAGAAAGTGAACTGAGCACTTTTCGGCCAGAATTCCTTAAGGAGAGAAGTAACCGGCTGAAGCAAATAAGTAAGTCGCTTCGCACGAAATCGCGCGCACGACTGTTTATCGGCGTAGCGTAATAGCATTCCTCACCCATCGCATCCTTCAGCGAATGTATTAGAACAGCGACGCACATCTTCACAAGGTTTCTTCAGCTCCACGCCCGATTTATCGAAATTCCACGCACAAATAGCGCTGCTCCCCTTGGCACAACGACAAGTCAGCACTTCCAGCAACTTCTTCAAATCCGCCCATTTCCTTCGGAAAGCAAAGACTGATGCTCGAAAGTTCTGCAGGAATCAGCCGTCCTTTATGATTCCTATTGCTACACTGGCTTCAAACCGCCTTCTCATCAATTTTATACTGCTCCATGCAAAATTGCCCGCCTCGTATGCAAATTTTCAAGTCTAAAGCTCAATTCTTCTGTGCTATGCAAATGGAAATGTGTATATTCTTGAAAATTTATGCTTAAATTATAGTGGCTGTTTCATTTTTTTAATGTTCGGCATAAAAAGGGCATATTGATGAATGTCTTTGCCTCAAATTCAAGGTTTTTCGT